TAGGGGGGCAGGATCACCTCCCTCGACCTGCTGGAGATGCTCTTCTTAATGCAGCCCAGGATTCCATTGGCCTTCTTGGCCACGAGGGCACACTGCTGCCTCATGGTCAACTTATCATCCACCATGACACGCAGGTCTTTCTCTGCAGAGCTGCTCTCCAGAAGGTCGGTCCCCAGCCTGTACTGGTGTCTGGGGTTATTCCTCCCCATGTGCAGGACCTTGCACTTGGCCTTGTTGAATTGCATGAGGTTTTTCGCTGCCCAGTTGTCCAGTCTGTCCAGGTCCCTCTGGATGGCAGCGCAGCCCTCTGGGGTATCAGCTACTCCTCCCAGTTTGGTATCATCAGCAAACTTGCTGAGGGAGCACTCTGTGCCTTCATCCAGGTCATTGATGAATAAATTGAACAGGACTGGACCAAGGACTGACCCCTGGGGGACCCCACTAGCCACAGGCCTCCAACTAGACTCTGCACCGCTGATCACCACTCTCTGGGCCCTGCCATCCAGCCAGTTCCTAATCCATCTCACTGTCCACTCATCTATCCCACACCTCCAGAGCTTGCCCAGGAGGATGTTTTGAGGGACGGTGTCAAAGCCTTGGTGAAGTTGAGATAGACGACATCCACCGCTCTCCCCTCGTCTATCCAGCCGGTCATTTCATCATAGAAGGCTATCAGGTTAGTCAGGCAAGATTTCCCCTTGGTGAATCCATGCTGACTACTCTTGAGCACCTTCTTGTCCTCCATGTGCCTGGAGACAACAGCCAGTATGAGCCGTTCCATCACTTTTCCAGGGACGGAGGTGAGGCTCACTGGCCTGTAGTGGCCTGGGTCCTCCTTCTTGCCTTTTTTGAAAACTGGCGTGACATTGGCCTTCTTCCAGTCCTCCGGCACCTCCCCCGTTCTCCAGGATCTTTCAAAGATGATGGAGAGCGGCTTAGCTATGACCTCTGCCAGCTCACGCAGCGCTCTGGGGTGCATCCCATCAGGGCCCATGGATTTGTGGGTATCGAGTTTCCTTAGGTGCTCTCTGACCCAATCTTCCTCTACGTTGTTCTACGTCCTCTATGTTGTTCAGGTTTCTTGTAGTTGGCAATTCAAGAACTTTGAGGAAGAGGTTGTATCTAGAGTTTGACTACCAATGAATTTAGCCCTTGTGAATTTATGATCCTATTTTAAATTAACTTGTAATCTTGGCTCCTGCAGTGTCCTAAGAAAACAAACTTCATAACTGAATAATGGCTTTTCATGGAGTACAGAAAGTGTTTTAAAACTTATGCCTTCACCTATGTCCCTCATAGTCTGAATGTTATGAAAAGCGGTGAATAATTCTCTGATCACCATCTAGCTAGTAGCGATAGGTAGTCTGTAGTAACATCACACTTCCAATAAGTGTTGGGACCTGTTCTTAATAACTTTTCTGTTCAACAAGATGAGAGACTGAAATTGTACTCACCATTGCTATTCTACTCCATAATTTATAGATGTCTTTTGTCCTTCTCACTTGTGCCTTTTTTGCATGTCTGAAGAGTATAGCTTTTTTCATCCCTCTGTTCTTCCTTATTTTTAGTGTGTGATGATTTTCTTGGATGAGATAAGTAGGAAGAAAAATAGAATGCCTAAATGGATAGCTTAATTTGATACTTTTTTGGGGGGAATTACTATCCTCCTTTTATAAATGCTAGTTTACCTTTTAAGCATAGCCCTGAAATAAGTTTGCTGCTATCAGCCCTAAGCAGTTCTGCTCTGTGCTGGTTTTCTGGTGGCACATGCCAAGAAAAAGTTTGTATGAATGTCACTTAAATACAGCCTTAAAAAAAAAAAAAACACGAAGACTCTGTTCTTTCTGTCTAATCTCTAAATTTATGAACTATCTGGTTCTGTTAATGAAACTTTTTCATATAAAAGGGCTTTACTTGCCCACTTAATGCCTTCAAGATAAGGAAGAGGTCCTGAAACTTATTGGGATCAAAGGGCCATTTACTGCAACATACTGCAAAACTCATGCTACTGAACAGGTTGGTGCTAGGCATACTTTTACTAAAGGAACGAGGAGTATTTATGGTGAGGACATAACTGATATATCAAAAGCCCTTTATAGGAATTACTATTATCAGGTTTTCCTGGCTCCATAGGTTCTACATGTCTAGAGAAATCTATTATCTCAATCTTAAAGATGAAATTAGATGGAATTTTAAAGATAATTCTAATAAAATAGAAGGAAAACATTTTGTCTTTTTTTCTGACTATAGCATCTCAAAAGGCTATGTATGTTTGGGTTACTTTGCATATCAGAGAAACAACATGCTATTGAGATGAAAAGAGATTTGATTTGGTTACAATTGTCAAGTATGGAAGTATTTTTTAAAGTATGAACCAAATGAGAACAAATGACTGTTCAGCAGTAAAGCCTTCAAAGGAAAACTTGAATTGCTATACCTAGCTGGTGCTTGACTTGTAAAGCATTTATAATGATTTTTGATCACTGCAAGGCATTGATTTTGTTTTAAACAGTGGGGTGTAGGTTTATATATATGTAGAATGTAAAAATGGCTGTGAGCTTGAACCAACTCCTTTTCATTGCACCCAAGTACTAGATCTCTCCTCTTGTTTCTTCATAGTAAAATATTATTGATGCCATTTTATAATTTAGGAGAAAAAAAAAAGGTAAGACTAGAGTAAAAGCTAGACCACCTTTTGAGATGTACAGAGTTTGAAAATGCTAAAGTTCCTATGTAAAGTTAGAAGCAACTCTGGAGGTGTGCCTTTTTAACTGGAAGGGGTTCATGTTCCTATAATCTGTGTTATCAAAGATAGTTCCATGAGTACCATATATTCCTGCAGGCTGATTTTGTTGAAAAGATCACATCATTACAAAAGTGAAAGTGCTGTGGAGCTCCCTGCTAAGATCCATCTTCATGGAGAATGAAAGTCTGGAGGGGACACAATCTGCTGAAGAAATAGCACATCTTGTTTTTTTGTTTTGTTTTTGTTTTGTTTTCTTTTTAATAGTTACATTCAATTTTCATTTTTATTCATTCTAATACACTATGGCTTTTTTATTCTGTAAGGCTACTCATTAGATTTTCCTGTATAATTGCTGTTTGTCTCTTTTGGATCCCTGTTATACCTGGACTGTTCTGCTCTGAAAGTTTTCATTGTTCCTGGAGACATTTTCTTTTGGTCACTCTCAGTAGTCTAAGAATGATTGTTGTTTTCTGCAGTTGATGATAATGGATAACGCTGCAGCTATACTATGGTAATATTCATATATTTCTTCTGTTTGTATTCAAAAGTATCAATTACTGTTCTTAATAACAGGATAGAATAAAATGTGGGTAACGTTTCAGTGTTTTGAAACTGTCAGCTTGCAGGACAGCTTATCACCAGAGGGAATCTTTCAGTGGCAATAGCATAAAGGAAGCATAAAATACTGAGGAAAGGCAAAAAGTGTATTTAATCCACTTTCTGTTTTAAGGTATATTCCTTCTATTGCTGTTCACTTTGCATACTTTTCTTGTTTT